TACATCCAAATGTTTTTTAAACGTTGTAACTGTACCCACATCGACCACTTCCTCAGGAAGTTCATTTCACACACGAGCCACCCTCTAGGTAAAAAAAATTTGCCTCATCTTTTTTAAATCTCTCTCCTCTCACCTTAAAAATGTGCCCCCTCATCTTGAAATCCCCCATCTTAGGGAAAAGATAGTTACTATCAACTCTGTCTATACCTCTCATTATTCTGTAAACATCTATCAGGTCACCTCTCAACCTCCTATGCTCCAGTGAAAAAAGTCCTAGCCTATCCAGACTTTCTTTATAACTCAAACTTTCCATACCCAGCAACATCTTGATAAATTTCTTCTAAGCCCTCTCCAGCTTAATAATATCTTTCCTATAAGTGGGCGACCAGAACTGGACACAATATTCCAGAAGAGACCTCACCAATATCCTGTACAACCTCAACATAACATCCCAACTCCTATACTCAAAGGTCTGAGCAATGAAGGCAAGCGTGCCAAAAGCCTTTTAAACCATCCTGTCTATGTGTGACGCAAACTTTAAAGAATTATGTACCTGCACCCTAGATCCTTCTGTTCTACAACTCTACCCAAGGCCCTACCATTAACTGTATAAGCCCTACCCTTGTTTGTTGTACCAAAATGCAATACCTCACATTTATCTAGATTGAATTGAACTCTATCTGCCATTTTGCGGCCCTAAGACCCATTTGATCAAGATTCCTTTGTGATCGTAGAAAACCTTCTTCACTGTCGACGAAGCCACCAATTTTGGTGTAATCTGCAAACTTAGATAACCATGCCTTCTATATTCTCATCCAAATCATTTATGTAAATGACAAACAAAGGAGGACCCAGAACCAATCCCTGTGGCACATCGCTGATCACAGGCCTCCAGTCTTCAACACAACCCTCCACCACCCCCACCCTCTGTCTCCTACTGTTAAACCAATAATGTATCCTTCTCATTTTGCAGCCTTTGTATCATCCTGTAAAATTATTATCATGGCTATTTTTACAATCATTAGCAAATTTGGTTTTTAGAAGGTTCTTCTAATTCAGTAAAATAAATCTTAAATAGTTGAAAACCGGCTGTTAATCGGTGTGGAACTTCACTGCTTAGTTGGCTAAAATGATCCCATTATCCTGAATCTGTTCCCAGTTAGTATATCCCTGCTAATATGTTGCCTCTACACCATGGGCTCTTGTCTTGTGTAACAACCTTTTTATTTGGCTTCTTATTGAATGCTATTTGGAAATGCAAATGCACACCATTTACTGGATTCCTTTTTCAATCCTGGTTGGTCCAACCTTAAAGACCTCTTTAATAAATTTGTGCAATCAAGCAAGGGTTAACATGGATGCACCACGGCCTGGTACTGCAACTGCTCTGCCCAGGACAGTAACAAACTACAGAGAGAAATGTGATCAGAGCCCAGACTATCACGCAAGCCAACCTCCCACCCATTGACTCCATCTACACTTCTCCTTGTTGCGGAAAGGCAGTCAACATCATTAATGACCTCTTCCACCCCTTTAGAATCTCTTCCAACCTCTTCCGTGAGGCAGAAGATACAAAAGCTTAAGCACATGTGCCGGCAGATTTGTGAACAGCTTCTTCCCCGCTGTTATTAGATTTCTGAATGGACCTCTCAAATTTTAAATTCAGCGTTGATCTCGCACTTTGTGCACCTTCTCTGCAGCCATAACTTTGTATTCCTTGCTCTGTTCTATTACCTTGATGCACTTTATATGGTGTGATCTGCTTGTACTGCATGCGAAACAAAACTTTTCACTGTACCTAGGTACATCTGACAATGATAATTTTTTTCATTCATTCCTGGGGATGAGGTCATCGCTGGCCAGGCAACATTTATTGCCCATCCCTAATTGCCCAGAGGGCAGTTCAGAGACAACCACATTGTTGTGGGTGTGGAGTCCAGTGTAGGCCAGACCAGGTAAGGATGGCAGTTTCCTTCCCTAAAGGACATTAGTGAACCAGATGGGTTTTTCCAACATTTGACAATGGATTCACAGTCATCATTAGACTCTTAGTTCCAGATATTTTATTGAATTCAAATTCCAGCATCTGCAGTGGATTTGAACCCAGGTCCCCAGAACGTTATCTGGGTCTCTGGATTAACTGTCCAGTGATAATAGGCCATCGACTCCTTCATATTCAGACCAAATGTGTACAGCAAAATCGCTGAAATTATGCAGAAATTATCCTTTTCTTTTATTAATGAAGGGCTAAAAATTAGAGAGAAGGCCTAAACAACTAAGATGGTTGTTGAAATGAGGAGAATCAGAGGAGCCCTTCTTCAGGTACAGAAGAAACCAGGTGGAATGGGAATGGTTAAACTGGAGCATGGTTTCAAGTCTAACCACAGCTTGTAGGAAGGAGTGGCATAGATACAAGCCTGCCTTTGTGTTTGGACTTGCACTGGTATGACTGGTACTGTGGTGTTTTAACAATCCCTGTGAGGTATGCTATTCTCAGTAACCTTTAGTGAAAAAGTGAGACATTTCTTCATCTTTAGCTATTCTAATTTTCAAAATTTCATCCTACCTCAATTCTGAGTTTTTCTTTGCATTGGCACCCAATTACTTGTTTAGCAGGAAATTGATTAGCGTAAGATTGAGTTTATAGGTGTTAGCTTGTGAGAGCGCAGTATTGATATAAAATGACTGGCCCATGTGAAGACTGGATAATTGAGACAGGTAACTGGAAAGGGTTAGAATGAGCTGGGCTCTGAGTGCAGATAATTGGAAGAGAAGAAAAAGCCAAAATTAATTTCTGTACTGAGGGAGAGGAATTTGACATATGCTTAAAAAGGCAGTTATTGATATTGGTTTTGCCAGCATTCACTACCCATTGCTCCTTGCCTTAAAGATGCTGATGAGTCAGCTTTTTGACTGTCTTCGGAGAGCAATCCCAAATTGACCCTTGTTGATGTGAGACTGGCTTTCTCAATTGGTTAGGTAGATGAGGCTGGCACGTTCTCTTCATAGCCGAGCCACTTTGGTTTTTATGACCATTTTACTGATTTGTGGAGACTTTATGGAATGGTGAATGTTGCTCAACCCTCCCATTTTTGTTTGAAATTCTTAACGTTAGCTGTATCCTGTTAGTTTTGAATCCAGATTCTTAAACCTAAATTTTTTCCACGTATCTAAAATATATAGTAATCTCAATTGGGGAAAAGAAATCCATGTAACTTGCTTCTGTAAATTCAGGAGATAATTTTGACCCTCTTCTAGATCTTCTGAAATATTTGTTTTTTTTTGCAAATAATGAAAACAATCTTAAAGGCAGTGCTCCAGTTGAAATATTGCATAGATCACATGCATCTTTTAACATGATTACCTTCAGTATGGATTAAGGCAGGATTATTAAATGTAGCTGAATTCTCTGCTCCCTTGAGTTTGATTATTTACCAGCGTAGAAGAATAGGCAGAAACTCAAATAGGTGTGCTTCTATAGAACATTCTACTCTGACGGAGTGTAGCATCCTCTCTGTTGCAATGCTAACTTTTTAACATTTTTTTAACTCATTCACGGGATGACAGCGTCGCTGGCCAGGCAGCATTTATTGCCCATCCCCAATTGCCCAGAGGGCAGTTAGGAATCAACCACATTGCTGTGGGTCTGGAGTCACATGTAGGCCAGACCAGGTAAGGATGGCAGTTTCCTTCCCTAAAGGGCATTAGTGAACCAGATGGGGTTTGAGGTCATCATTAGACCCTTAGTTCCAAAATTTTCCTTTTTTTAAATTAGTGAATTGAAATTTCACCATCTGCCATGGTGGGATTTGAACTCAGATCCTCAGGACTTTAGCTGAGTCTCTGGATTGATAGCCTAGTGATAACACCACTAGGCTGTTACTTCCCTGTTCACATTCTGGAACGGAAACACAGGAGAAAAGCAACTGGAATGATTCGGTCAGTGGAAGGGTCGGATTAGTTTTTCTTTATTTGTTGACGGGATGTGAATGTTCTTGATGAGGCCAGCGTTTATACTGCACATTCCTAATTGCCCTTCAGCTGGTGAGTCACCATCTTATACCCAATTGGAGTGGACTTCTTGGCAATCACAGAAGATGCTTCAGAGTCAACCACATTGCTGTGGATCTGAAGTCTTTTCCTTCCACTTTCAGACTCATTAAATTTACTAAATTTAAATCTTCAGAGGCTTTATGAATAGAAGTATCTACATCATTTAGTCCAGGGCTCTGTCAGGAACAGTCACTGTCTACTGTGCCCCCAACATAGTGCTTGTATAAACTAAACAAGTTCTCACTGGAATGGATAAAGTTGCGAGGTGATATGTTTGCAGTTGCTCTTAAAATTCTTTAAGCTCCAGGTAGTGTTGATCCTGAATAGCTGTTTCATGTTTTCCATAACCAGAGGACATGGCCTGTTTAAGTTTGGAAGAATTCTGAATTGATCTCTATCAGTCAATATGTGGCCAATCTAATAGAGCTGGCTGCCTAGAGAGATGGTCCTCTAGTTTTGGACTCGCCTCTCCTGGGAAAAAGAACCTGACCATGACCATTCACCCTATCCATGCCCTTCATGATTTTATAAACGTCTATAAGGTCATCCTTCAGCCTCTGACGCTCCAGAGAAAAGAGCCCCAGTCTATTCAGCCTCTCCCTATAGCTCAATCTCTCCAACCCTGGCAACATCCTTGTAAATCTTTTCTGAGCCCTTTCAAGTTTCACAACATCTTTCCTAAAGCAGGGAGACCAGGATTGAATACAGCATTCCAAAAGTGGCCTCACCAATGTCCTGTACAGCTGCAACATGACCTCCCAGCTCCTATACTCAATGCACCGACCAATAAAGGCAAGCATACCAAACACCACCACCTTTGCCCCCCTGTCTAACCGCGACACCACCTTCAAGGAACTGTGTACCTGCACTGCAGGGTCTCTTTGTTGTTGGGACTCATCCTTGTTAACACAATTGTTACCATAGTTTAAGCCTGTAACTAATTGCTAATGGAACATTATTTTCTTCCTTTCCAGAGGTCATACACGTTAATAGTGGAAGCATGGGACCAAGATAATGCAACAGCTGGTAAGTACCCTAACTACCTTGTCCTGAGGTATTTTTCAAACGTGCTCAGGCATAAATCCATAGAACATCAGTATTGGATTCATAGTTTTTTGCGAAGGTGTGTTGTGTTGCTATGTGTTCACCAGGGGTATGTTGGAATTTGGGTGGGCAGAGATATTCTGAGGAGCCCAGACATGCTTTCAATGGGGAAATTTAAATAGCTGGAATTTTCTACAGTGACTCATTAGGTACGGATTCCATACCTGCACATGTGAATTAGGTTTCCAGTATTATTAAAAGAAAACAAATTAAGTAGTTCTCCCACCCCCACACTTTTTTTTCCCCGAACTTGAAACATCTGCCAGTTGCAGGGATTCCATTCATATCTGTCACCTCACTCAAGTCTTTGTTCACTCTCACCTGGGAGTGTTTGATGGGGACAAGTAGAAGGAGCTTTACTCTGTATCTAATCCTGTGCTGTCCCTGCCCTGGGAGTGTTTAATGGGGACAGTGTAGAGAGAGCTTTACACTGTATCTAACCCTGTGCTGCCCCTGTCCTGGGAGTGTTTAATGGGGACAGTGTAGAGAGAGCTTTACTCTGTATCTAATCCCGTGCTGTGCCTGTCCTGGGAGTGTTTGATGGGGACAGTGTAGTGGCA